AATGCAGATGGCTCAGAATCATGCTTCGTGGCTTGTGCCCATAAACGCCCATTCAAACGCATCGGAATTAAACAATTAAAATTTGGACGCAATAAAATTTAGTACAATTAAAGTAAGCTATAAGACTCCCATCAATGTTATGAGGCAGTTAACTATTCGATAAAATAGATTGTTTTAATCAAAGGTTTCCCTTCCACAATCTAAACGGAAGAAATGCTTGCGTTCGTTTGTGATTGCTTAATGCTTAGACAGTCACGGTGGCCGTTCAAGAGTTCTGAGGCATAGCATCATAATGCCTACGCAGATTCCGCTGCGTAGCAATGCTAGATATGTACGGGCAATCGAGTTACCGTGTTTACGATTGCTATTAAAGTGCTCAGTCCGTGTAAAGTGATAGCCGGCACTTACCTTGGAATTGTAATGCGCTAGGTGCGGTAGTTCTTCGGCATTGTACTTGCCCCCTCGACATTACGCTGCTAATAAACGAGAGGTACCTATTTCATGGGTTATAAGCCGGAAGGATATTACGGTAACAGAATTTTAGAAATATGGAAAACTAGCTGACTTCCGCGACTTCGTCTGAGTTGCTTAGTATATTAACATTTCATTATGAACATTGTTATTATAATAAGCAACGCAACGCGGTGTAATTAAAACAGGTGCGTTTTACACGCATCACGCAGCGCTTATAAAAACCGTTGTTTCTTAAAACTTTAATAACAACGCAAGAAAATATCACATTATTTTGTCTTAGATAAGGGCCAAGTGACATAAAACTATCCAGTAGGTTCTCCTTGCGTAAAAAGGCAGACCTCTATCATTTTACTGTATATGTACACGATTCTTAGCACCCCCTATCGATAAAACAAACTAATTTGTGAACTGGAAAAGTACTTTGTGACAGTTTAATTATGGACCAGAAAAAAGTAAAGTACGAAAAAGACACCACAACATCGCCTTTGTTTACTGTCAAGGGGTTCAATGAAAGTGGAATTATGTACTAGGCTTGCCACGTCGTTCGTAAAGTATTTAGCAAAGAATGCGAGATAATTTGTTAGCGTTAGTTTTTCGATCAGATCAGAGAAGGCAAGAGAGAACAGACATCTGACGGGATGGCAATCCCAAAAATGCCCACGAGAAAGGTAGACACTTGATTATGTAATTTAAAAAAAACGGGTCTAGTGCTAATCGGACTCGCGCACCAAGGCTTCATTATCTATTAAAGCGGCAAAAATAAATCATGTCTGTTGTACGGAAGCCCCACTTAAATATATTTGTTGTCATAGCGGCAACAGTGAAAATTTGTCTAACTATCACGACATTAGATACAGACTGGTGACGGACGGACGGACGGACAGAGACAGACAGACAGAGACAGCGGATAATAGGGTCTCGTTTTATCCGTTGGGTAGGGAACCCTAAAAATTTTAGTAACAACAGTAGTCAACTCCCTTTGCGTAAATGCTCTTTGCTTACGATTAAACAAATTTAGAAAACATTTGTGCAACTGTGTGTTCTGGAGATGAAAATCGTTGACAGCGACGGAAATTCGCATTCCAAATTTTTTTTGTTTACGTCAGAAGGAACAGCTATAGCGTAGGGCAATAAACAATTGTCCGTATATACTATAAAGACTTGACGATGGGACCTCTATTTTTAGCTGGTCGCTCTAAATGGACGCATTGTTGGAACATTAATTTATAGGGCCCGGGTATCGGGCGCGTGCCACCACAAATTGGACGCGGTTACGAGTTCGTTTACCTGAAGCGTGGAAAGGCATTTATTGAGCAAACGGTATGGGGAGCTATAGTGTCGGCGGAGCGGCGTTTTCTTTCGCATCTGGTGCGGGCCGTACGCGCAAATCGAATGTTCTAGAACCTCTGGTCGTTTATGCAAAACACTGACAACACAACATTGAACACTACCAATCATAATATGAATCGGTCACGGGTGTTAATCTATTCGCAGTGTTATTTACAGTAGCCAAAACATAAAAATTAGTTCAAACATCAATAAGTTTAAGTATCAATTTGTTCACATATTATCGAGCACTTTCACGTAAAGATTTATGCAACGATCTCGTGAAGTTCAAATTAGAGCCGTGATTCGTTTGTAAATAAAACCATTATTGATTAACTCTAACTTTGTGCTCGAGATTCGTATTAATGTAAACGACAGTGGTCTTTATAGTAATGCTATAAGGCGCAAAGTCACATGGGCCGGGCGCCCAAAACCGCGTTAGTGGACCCACATTCCGTTACCAACTTGTTAGATGATAACATTATCTCATATCAACTCGACTTGCAGGTGAATGACTCAAGTATTTGTAAGTAAAGGCCATTAAAGCTCGTCGACAGTACACATTGCCATCAAAATTTCAAATCACTTTATGATAGTGTACATATCGTTACGACTTGTTTATCAACTAATCTTTGACTAATTTTCAAGTTCTTACCTGGATTAATAACGACGGGCAATACCTATTGGCTTATGTGTAATAAAATCCCACAGTCGATATTAAGTCTGCCACTAGATGAATTTAAACGAAAAATTAAAAGTAAACTTATGGCTAAAGCATATTATACTATTGCTGAATAACTTGACAACGCCAATGTGTGTGTTCAATTGTCGTCATTATATTTATTTAGCAAAAATATAAACCTTATACCATAGAATAAAATGAAGAATATTTTTGTAATATGTTAAGGTGTTAACTGAAAGGCAGTTAACGTGATGTTGCAAGTAATTACCGCTACCCATGAACACACCCACTCCTGAACTTCATCCACGTGACTACCAAAGTTTGTCTAATGTAGAAATCGATTTTCACAATTTGCGTATAGATTAGCTTTGTGATTATCGTTATGTAATCACTAAGTAATAACAACACTCAATAAGCCACAAATGACCTGAAACATAATATAACCGCAATAAGCCAATATCGATTGCAAGTAAGCCTCGATTTTGTCCTCAATAATCATATGATACGTTTTACTTATTACGCTTTTACATCACTACATAGTATAAAACAAATTCGTCCCGCTGTTTGTCTGTCCCTATATATGCCCTATATATATATATAGATCTTTAAAACTATGCAACGTATTTTGATGAGGTTCTTTAATAGATTCAAGAGGGAGGTTTATGTGTATAAATCATGCATAATATACTAAAGAAACATTGATAATTTTAGAGGTTTCTAATGCGATGTTGAAAAAAAACATTCAGCATTCCGTGCGAAGCCGGGGCGGGTCGCTAGTATTTAATAAACGTAATCGCACACCTCAAGTATTCGAGTTGAATTGAAACCCTCTAAGAAGGTCGTGTGTAGACTACAAAACATGGATTTTCAAATCCTCATAACTTTGATGGTGGAAATTTGGAAACTAAATTGTATCTTATCGGTCAAAGGGCGCTCTGTTTGCCCCCAAATAAGCACATCCAAGAACTTTCAGATTATGGGCAATGATCAAATATGGTATTTAGAGGCCGTTAGTAATGACGAATATGTACACAGAGGCAGTGACCTTGAAATATACGTATAACCCAGAAATGGTAGTAACTTCAGCTTTGAAGAAGCCAACATGAGGGTATATTATAAACGACGGAGAAAATACACTCGGATATGAATTTAACACTCGGACATCGAAGTCGCGGCATTTTTTTTAGGTGAAGATTTGTCAAGCGAGCAGGGGGTTCACCTGATATTAAGCGAAAATCGCAGCCCTTGGACCTTTAAAAAGGGGACCTCGGTTACCTCACTAACCAGACGAAAAGCTAAAGCTTAATACTTCCACTGCACGCCGGTCTTCAGTGAGGCCATAACTAAGCATGATAGTGATGTGATAACCATATATCAGTCGAATAATTAATAGATATAACCTCAAGGCGAGGCAAAACTTGACAGCCCACGTGCAACTCAAGCCCCGAGTGTGGGAATTGTAGCGCTTGCAACACATCACCGCCCCCGTGTACGGACCGATTTCTCCATAAAAGCGACGGCAAAACACATTTATTGTCACGCTTAAATATCGACTATAGTAGGATAAACGTCGCCGCAACCAAAACGTAATAGGAAATCGTTGCCACACGTAAATAACGTAAATAAAACATGTAAGAAATAAGACCTTTCTTAATCATTAACATAATTATGACATTCAAATAGATACTTGTCAAACCATTATAAAAAAAGTAGATCAAGACCGCGTTTCCTGTCGGTTCTTCACTGGACATGTCTAAATTAGTGAACCGGAACTAAAGACTAGCCCCTATACTGAATAAAGTATTTTTGACTGTGAACTTTTACTTTGAATCGAAAGGTCCATTAAAGTATTATTCTTTTCGGTTAAGCTCAGCTCAAATATCTTTATTCAGCATTGGAGTCACTCACTTATTGATTGTCAAAATACTAAGAATTACCACTACACTGTGGTCATCTACTGACTAAGTTCTTCCAGTCGAGCTGACCTATTCGTGCAGTAGGGGCTGTATGAAAGCTCTTTGCTCTAATAACTCATCTATAAAAACTTTATGAAATGAAACGGCGGTCCCGTAACCATGTCCACTATAAAGAATTAGAAAAGTCAGGATTTTGATATCAGTCAGGAGTCAGGAATTGAGATAAAAAATAAACGCGATCAGTCCATAAAAAGTTGTTTCATTTAGTTGCGTGTGATAATTAACTTTTCGTACTCACCTAGCCGTGATAGCTCAGCACATTATGTAATATACTTGAGCAACCACAGTTCGATCCCCGGTGCGGGCATCAATGAAATTGTTAATTTTAAGTGCTAACTATCACGTGCTCAGCGGTGAAGGAAAACATCGTGAGGAATCCCGCATATTTTCGAAATAATAACAAAAACAATGTTTCGAAGATATGTGAAGTCCACCAATCCGCAGTGGGGCGCGTGGTGGACTATGCCCTAATACCCTCTGTAAAGAGGAGGCCTCTGCCCAGTTGTGGGACATTTATAGGCCTTTACTATTTTTTTACTCACCTAGCGCCAACGATGACCTGGTCCCGCGCCACGTCGAACAGCAGCTGCGAGAACGCCCTGGTCTCCTTATCTTCGAAGATATCGCTGTCCGACGCCAACAGGTCTGCGAGATCGTAAACACAAGCGATAAGCAGAAATATGATTTTTTCGTTATCGATATCGTTGAATGTCGATATCGGAATGAAGGTTCCGTGTACATCGGCGAAGTGCATTCCATATTTCGCCGGACACTTATTGGTATACTTTATTGCGGACGCATTAAAGGCTCAGATATGACAAACAATGTGAGCAGTTCACATTTTTACTGCGTCATTTATGCTTATAAACGTCGTAAAAGGAATATATACGGATTCAGGAAACGATGCGTAAATTCGAAGTGTGTAATATCGTTAATATTCAAAGCAATATTTCGACGATAACAAATCGTCGATAAAAATCTTTGAACACATTCGCGCCTTCTGTCTCTATACTTAGCCTTTTTACAGATATATAGCTAACGCCTCGTAAACTGAATACGCCCAAACGGTTTCTTGTATTTACGCGAATTCTAAGTATGGTTAAATAAAACTATTATCGCGATTTTATCGCGTGTAATCTGTCGAGTGACCATGTCCGTTTAAAATGTTCGAGACAACGCGTCCGCGTCGGTCATAGGAGAGGAAATATTCGATACGACGCGAAGTCTGATATTTAGAAGAAAATAAAATGCGAGAAAATCAGGAAAAAGTTTTATTTAATCAAACATAACTCTTATTACACGAGTAAATTACTTGACTGTCAGTTTACATGCAACGTCGGCTCACTATTATAGTTGAAATTGGAGACGTAGCTTGTAACATAATTTTAAGTGTACTTTACACCGGTGCAATTAGTTTCTAGGTGTTTGTAGAGCTTAATAAATGTAGGAGCTGTTAAAAAATCTGAATTACTTTCAGAAGATAAATTTTCAAACTCGAATCAACAAAAATTTACAGCACATAAAACGTCCCGTTCTCTTTATCGGTAAAACGAAACACCCTACTGCACAGATTGTCTACGTATATGTGCTGTTTTTGTTAAGAAACATTTATTATTGTAAAACGGAACTTCTACCTTTTGGGTCACATTCGAGACCCAAGTCAAACGTGTTTACAGAACCACACATGGCGGCGGCTAATCAAACCAGTTCGCTGTTTTCCAAAACACAAGCAAACGCAAGAAAAACGTTAGCGCAAACCTATTAGCGCTAATGTACAACTAAACGCGCGTTTTTATGATCGTCCATCAACATTACCCAAACACTGGTGTGGCCTTAATAGGCTGTTATGAAGTGGTACGCGTCTGTGACATAGATTCGATCGGTCCGACGTGGCACGCATTAAACACAGTCTTCATTAAATCTCACTTCGATTCTCCATTTATGTACTATTAGAATGTGCGGGTCCGGGAACTTTAAACGTATAATGCGTCGTAAGTCGAGTAAATTTTCACAGCAAGCAATAAGATTATGTGCGCATAGAAGAATAAAGACTTACGCCCGGTTTCTGAAACACTGATCATCGTAGAAATTAACTAATCAGCTGTCAAATGGCTTTACACCGGGGCGGTTCTCACCGCTCCCAGCCACCGATTAGCTAATTGCACAGTCGACGGCCATCGGGGTTTCGGTCCGAAGCGCGACCTCGATGCCTAAGGATGGATCTAAGGAGATGACACATAGTTAAACGCACGCAAGAGCACATGCGTGGCCCTACCCATAGCGGAGGGCCCAAACCCGTGGGTTCTGGCTAGCCCACCGGTTCTGCGTCAGATGAAGCTTTAATAGTCTCGGGACTGAAAGCAAAAACATCAGTTAATACAAGATACAAGATGGCTTTACAAATTTCATTTAAGTTGCCAAAAGTATGGTTAAACTATTTGAATTGATCATTCTGGTCATTAAGATCATTCTGATCAATTCAGAGATTTTAGCAATCCTTTTGGCAAATCAAATAACTTTTGACAGCTGATTAGTTGACTTCTACGGTGATCAGTGTTTCAGAAACCTGCTATAAAGCAGGTAATATTTAACGACTTGATGTTTAGTGTTTATAATTTATTTAATGCTTTTCATTAACAGTGTCTCGGTAAATTGCGTTGGTGTTTAACTGTGTTACAAATATGTGTTTGTTTGTGCATATACTACTTTTCTCCACGATTCCTCCCATTCCTCTCGCAATTGGGAATAATTTACACACGAAGTACAATCAGACACGGAAAAACTATTTATGGATGAAACAACTCTTTTGTCCCGTTTCGGAGTCGGATCTATTACACGGTAAATTTGCCAACCTTAACAATTGGAGCTAACTGTGCATTCCATATTTCTTAAGACTTTTCTTTTTCTTACTTTCTAGGTACGAACACACCTAATACATACAACAACATTAAGTTAGGCAAAATTATGTTTAGTTTTCATTAACACGACAAGCCACATTACATTTCACATTTCCACTGCATTAAGTTTACGTACGCACGGTTTAATTTTACATTAACGGTAATTACGTTAGTACCACACAGATATTACTTCCTTGTAAATAAGCCTCTTCCATTACGTCTATGGTTTATGGTCGCTAGAGACAATTACTAACAATCATAGACATGTCAAGGTGGTCGCAGCGTATAACTCGTTAGATCGTGATCGCTTTTTAACGCAAATGTCTCCTCGCAACGCACATATGTTGATCAAACAATCGTGATTTGTTTCACGTCCGGGCTGCATATTCTATAACAGGGTCTATTAAGTCTTGTAAATGACGTTTTCACAACCATTATTTCTAAATTAAATACGTTTTGTTTTCATTGAAACACTTGTTTTATATTTTGACTTTAGACGATTGATAGATACAGATTTTATTTATAATTCAATTTTCGGACGTTAAGATTAATTATAAAATCATTACAATTTAGGATGTTCTTTTAATAATGTGAGTAAACTTAGGATTTTTTTTAATAATTAGATTTTAATTTTTTTCATCTTTACTTAAACATTTACATAAAACCAAAATACGAGAATAATAATAAAGCAATAATAGTAAACAAGTACCTTATTGCTCTTTAGTTTCTGCTTTCTGCCAGATTGATGTCTACAAATTGTTTAGCAAGGGAATATAAATAGAGTGGCCCAAATATAGCATTGTAAAAATACATGACCAACGAAGCAATTAAACAACAAATCACTGAGGGCAATCATAAGACATATTCGGCGGCCGGCCTTGAGCAGTAATTGAAAAAACAAGAGACATATTACGACAGAGGTTTTACAAGGAATCCTGATTGTTAGTATTAGAAAGAGTACAACCGTTATCTTTATAATAATACGAGAAGCTAAAACTTTATACCCTTTTTACGAATGTAACAGGCGGAGTATGGAATTTTGCACAGGTAAAATTTATATAAAGGTTTTGCAGAAAACTAATATTTTTATATAAGTCAGCATCAGTTCAATACATTCAACTGTGGTAGGGCCACGCAACAGTTTTCACTGTTGCACGAATATGTAGGTCCGTCCGGGTAAGTACCACGACCTCACAGAAGACCAGCGTAAAGTGGAAGATTTACATTTCTGCGTTTCGTCTGGTGAGTGAGGTAGCCGGAACAACCCTGCGGGTGTTTCAAATGTCCATGGACGGCGGTTATTGCTTAACATCAGGTGAACCGCCAGCTCGTTTGCCACTTTTACATATACAAAAAAAGGAGAGTAAATATTGTCGCCAACGAATTTAAAGTGTCAGATTGACAAAAATATTCCGACCAATGCGCGACTTCTAGTGTCAGCTTAAACAACAGATCTGAACTTTTAGGTAAAGTATATGCTGTACATATGCTAGCTATATACAGCACGTACATATCATATCGTATGTACGTGCCTATAAACTATTTTTTTATCATTTGAGTATTTTTAATTCTCGGTTAGCAGTTTACCTCTTTCCATCCACTTTTCATTGTTACAAGGATTAACTGGTATACAATGCCACTACTAGGCATTAAGTCCGCCCATTGTAACATAAGAACTTATGTTTTACTATCATTTTAACTGTGGTTGATCCATGCAACAGTTTACGCTGTTGGACAAATCGGTAGGTCCGTCCGAGGAAGTACCACGACCTAACAAAAGACCAGGGTGGAGTAAAAGTATTATGATTCTGCGTTTCTTCTGGTCAGTGAAGTAACCGGAGGCCACTGTCTCAAAAGGTGGCAACGCATCTGCAACCCGGGGTTCCAAATGTCCATGGGCGGCGGTTATCACTTAACATCAGGTGAACCGCCAGGTTACTTGCCACCTTGGCGCATAAAAAAATATCAGCAGTAAGAGAACGGAATAGGCTCACCTTGGCGGTTTATTATCCTGAAGTCATCCTCAGGAAGCTCGCCTTTGCTGAGCGCACCGAGCAGTATGAGAGTGACGACTTTGTAAAGTGCAGACATCGTCGCGTCGCTATACCAGTATCTGTGAAGAAATTGGTAACTGTTAACAATAGGATAAAACCTAAAAGTGCTCGTGAATTGTCTTCTGTTAATCGAGACACGAAATACACACTGGCTTACTCTTCTAGGGTAACACCACGGATTCACAGAAGACAGAAGTAAAGAGAAAATATTATTATTCCACATTTCGGTAGTGAGTGAAGTAATGCTGATACTTGGCCTACTTTTTTGATGGCTGGCCACGTATATGCAACCATCAGGTGTTGTACCTACAATTCAACAAGACGTAAATCGATAACTAACGTCATCTTAAAAAAAGTCATAGTCAATTCTTAATTTGATATTTACAATCGCTATAAATATGCTGTAAGAATCCGTCATGTATTGGCAATATGACAGCTACATAAAAGTGATTGGGGCTTCAATGTCATCGTGGCCTCCGAAGAATTTCATGTGAGTTTCTTTTGATGTGAGAAGGAGGCCAGCGAGTTGACAGTTCACTTGATGTGATATCCGCCTCCCATGGACATTTGCAACACCCGTATGGTTGTAGATGCGTTGCCACGTTATGATAAATTGGGGCCCGACTACCTCTCTCACTAGACGTATAACACGTCCACTTCACGCCGGTGTTCCGGGAAGCTTTTGTATCAATAATGCCCTTTATTTTAGAGCTTTATGGCATTTTCCGATGCGACGGCATGAGATCCTAAGAGGTTTTTTTTATGTGAAAGTTGCCAAACGAGCAGACGGTTCACCTGATGTTAAGTGAATACCGCCGCCCATGGACATATGCTATACCCGAGGGTTGCAGATGCGTTGACAACCTCTTAAAAATTGGGCTCCGGCCACCTCACTCACCAGACTAAACGCGAAAGTATTATACTTCCACTTTACGCCGGTCTTCTGTGAGGTCATGGTAGTATCTTGATTATTAATATTTTATACTATTCTTGATGGGACATGGCACATCTCAGGTGCATTTTAATCAGCCCCGGATCGCCATCAGATGCAGTTGAGGTCATGACGCAAATGTGGTTAGTGTAGACATGGTATGTGGCATTTGTTGTAGAGACTTAAATTAGTGTATACCGCCGAAATAATTTTTTTCTCTTATTTTTAATCTAATTGTACTATTTTTGCAACAGGTACTAAGAGTTAATGTTAATCAGCAATCCTCGTTGAACACCATAACGGAGTTAGCTTTGTTTAATATTATATTAAGTTAATATTTAAATAAAAACTGTAAGTGAACTTTGATTAATAGTAGTATTTGATTAATAACTTCCGAAGGTATTTTATAGCCAAGAAAAACTATAAATATGTCACAATATCCAGTAATCTGCAAAAATAAACTGCCAATTGTCTATGTAAAAAAATGCAAATACCGAGACAGACCCAAAACCATTATATGGCATTTGACGACATCATTTCGGAAATCTAAATTGTTATTGACTCGCGAACGGGTTTGTGTGCTATATTTATATATACAAGAAAAATATTTACATATGAGTCCAATAATTTATAGATTATATTCATAATACTTCATGTATTTTGCCTTTCTAAATTTTATTGGCGCATCGAGCGACATTACTGATACTTTAAAAGTTTTAAGGATTCGCATTTCACCGAACTCCGATGTGGGAATTTCCGGTTTCGTTAGCAAACTTTGAGCCAAAAGAGCTTCGTGACTGCTTCAAGATATCACACTCGTCCTTTTCTTTTTAAATAACGCCTGAGAACCAAACAGGTGACTTTCTTATCTGTGCGTTAGAGACCGTCTATTCATGTCGCTTCAAGCTTAAAGCCAGCAAACTGGTTTAAAAGTTATTGATTTGTGATATTCCATGCATGAATTGTGTGTCTTGAGAAATAATTTACCCTAATTTACCTCCATCTTTTTTTTAAATTCAAGTGTCCAGAGGAAGGTAATAATTTAATTAATCATTGCTTAGGCAAACTGAAATTAACATTGATGTTTCCTGTAAAGAGAAACAAGGCGTAAATCATATTTATAGATCATCTCAGTAATTTTAAATTCAAGTACTCGATTACTTCGACCTAAATTCAACAGAAACGAAAGATCAGTGCATTTCATACCACTGCTGTTATTATGTACATTTGTAATATTCTAATTATATTTATAAATCTGTAAATGGTGATGTTTCAAACCTGTAGAACAACAAATACATTGATGCATTAAAGACATTTAAAGAAATACAAATGCATGAATGTAATAGATCCTTTCAATCAAATTCACATATATTAACATAGTGATTTTAAATTTGAGACGATCGTCTGTCAAACAAAAAATATCGAAGGCCTGACTTTGTTGATCACAACAATAAATGATTATAATTGATAAATTAATGCTAGTTTATTAAAAATGCATGAGTATTTTCATTATTGAACCCGTTAACATTTCGAAACTATCAGTTTTTACATTGATTATTGAACAGTAAGTACTTTTCCAACAGAATCGAGTCTCGGGTCTCAGTGCACTTACATCTTAATAATGCACCAAGTAATAAATAGACTGGCTCGTAAATAATTTCAATTATGCTTCTGCGCTTTGATTACCCTTCCCGAGCGGCCGCATGAAGTCAGTTGTTGCATTAATCATAGGAGAGTCTAATTCCAATCGGCAATAACGACCACTCGAAATATGTTCTTACGCTTCTGTTGCAACGGCGCTGTTCGCCGACCGATAAACTTTCAACCATGGAAACGTAACTCGATGCGTTTGGTTTGCGTCGGGTTACGCAACCGAGTGGTTCTTGGTATGCGGGAAATTTGCGCGTTTCTAATGTCTAATACGTGTTCTGCTTGGTCGCGGTAATTTAACGTAATAACCGACGTTTGGAGAAAACCGCGCGAAGGGAGGTTGCGTTCTGACTCAAGAGTTCGTTGCGTTTTGTTGTCACCGGTGGCAGTGACAATTTTCATTATAAAAAATCCAAGGATAGATTTCCGTGCAAATTCATTACAACCTTTAAATATAAAAAAACCTTTAATTGTTCTCATCACTTTATTTGCAATTATTTATAAAAGGTTGATGACTCCCGTGTTAAGATTTTTAACAGTGCACCTCAACTATAATTTTTGAGCACAATAATTTTTGTTCCGCAAATTGAAAGCAATTAACTCCAGAAAGACTAAGCTGTAGGGCCACGCAGTAGTACTGCCGATGCGCGAATTGGAAGTCTAGTCCATGAAAGACGATCGGCGAAGACCAGCGTGAAGCGGGAATAATGTAATTTTACCTTTCATCTGGTGAGTGAGGTAACCCGGGCACATTCTTTTTACGAATTTACAACTCCACTAGTGTTGTAGATCTATTGGCGGCGGTTATTCTATAAGCTTAGGTGCTTGCATACGTGTCACCTTTCCCAGTTTGTTATAATTCGAAAAGTCATGAATTAATATTGACCAACGATTAAATCCGTTCCCAATAATAGTGATCGTGTAAATACTAGTGTAATTATAACAAATGCAATGTAAATATAGTGCATCACTACATAGTGTAAAACAAAGTCGTTCCGCTGTCTATCTGTCCCTATGTATGCTTAGATTCAAAACTGCGGAACGAATCTTGATGCGGTTTTTATTACTAGATAGAGTGATTCCGGAGGAAGGTTTGCTTGTATAATACATGCATAATATAATAGAGTATGTTTAGTATCAGCATTGCACCAGTGCGAAGCCGGGGTGGGTCGCTAGTATTAAATATATACCTATGATTAACCGTAGACATATTGTTCTAAGTAACATCTGACCTATAGAGCAAAAGTCATCCTTTCAACGCGTGGGCAGCTGGGACCCGCGCGACCCTGTTCTCAGTTCCCATGCAGCAAAGGAATAGTATTGTTTGACCTCAAACAAGGTGCGCGGGCAAACGCCGACTCTGAACCCGACCTCTGCACCGTGTCAATCAAGGAACTCCGCGCTTGCCCATAATGGTACATCCCATATAAAGTGTGCAGTTTTATAAACAAACGCAGCGGACCCTGATGAAAAATATGTAAACCGTAAACAAATACTGAATCATAACAACGCCTAATGAGTCAGGGTTTGCACGTATTAAATAGTTTTTTTTATTCTTAATTCTTGTAATTGTTTTCTACATTTAAAGTTCGATACCGGTACCCTGTGGATTATGGATACCGGATTTTTGTGTATGTTAGTTTGTGTGGAAACGTGCCCTGATATAACAGAGAAAGATAGAGATTTTAACGCCGTGAGGAGACGTTATCCGGTATGGAAGTTACCTGGTAGGCCCAGCAGCGAAAAAAAATGTTCTACAATTTTATACAAAATATTCTCATTTTTAGTTTCATTAATCAAATATCAATCTTAGTGGAATGTTAAACATCAGATATTTCTGTCTTTATTACAGTAAAGAAAGTTAATCGAGGTTAGGCTGTGAAGTACGGGCGTTCTGTTGTTGTGTCCAGGCCTGGTAACTTCCGCCAAGGTGTATATCGAATATCTCATGTAGAAATAAGTGAAATTAGTACTTGTTTAGTGTACAGCAACGCTCGTACACGCTGATATGAGTTAAAACTAGATGATGAATGATTAGCAATCAGTTTACGTCATTATTTATTGAATTAACTTGTCTTGTACAGTGTCGTATTGTTTAATGGTTTCTTTAATGAACAATTAGCATCGTTGTTAATTCATGCTAGAATACGAGATGCCGCTAATATACAGTTCCGACGTAGAAGAATATTGGCTGGTACACGACTAATCGTTTACATGGCGTACTTTAGAAATCATCCATTTTGAATCATCACACTTTTTAAGATTCGATTTTAGATTTTAGCACACTATTTTATCCAGAAGATAAAAAGTTGAAAGTCTAAACATAAACCGTTTTATGTTTTTTAATATTTTTTTAAAATTTACCTTTTTTAACGTACCCAATAATCTATAACAAATATTTGTGAGCGACTTGTCTCGGGGGAGAGCGAAACCCACAGTATAAAACTACCAAATTA